TGTGCTGTAGATGAATGAAAAGATTCAGATTTTCCCTTTCTAACCAAAGCTGACCAAAAGACAACTAGGTTTTGAGGTGAAAAATGACATCTAGAGATCAGCAAACTAAGTGCATGGGTATTGTTTACTCTGATGTTCTCCAGTTCTCAAAATATATAAATTATCCCCCCTCATGAAAATTGAGTCACGTTTTGTTTTTATCACAATAGTCCCAGCTGTTTCAAATAGCTGGCACTAATAATCTGTGCTTTAGAACTGATTAGCATCCTATATCCCTTCATTTCTAAAATGGAATTTTAATCAGATTGCAATTCCTTGAAACCTCCACGTCAGTGAGTACTTCCCTAACCATTAATCAATTGAATTTTGCCCTCAGTTAAGCTGCTTAAATCCCCTTCATATTACTGATTGATAACTTTCATTGCCTCCAGCATATCACTGACACACCGTTAGGGTTTTTTTTAACATCAGGGCCATGACACTATTATAAAACTGAGAAAAAAACAGACGTTTGCATTGCTACTATTGTGGCTTTTCAGCTTTCTCATTTTAAATCCCTGTTTTCTTCAGGGATTTGAAAGTGGGTCATAAATTCATTCCAAAGAGAAATCACTTTCATTGGTCTAATCATGCAAGTACTCAATGTCTCTTCTGGGAGGCCAGTTCTTAGTGTGGAAGTAGCTTATCTCCATCTGCTCAACCCCCCTGCATTATTTTTTTATGGCCTTTATGCTTTTTTTTTGTTGTTGTTTTTGTTTGGCTGGTTGCTTCTGATGCTACTGTGCTGAAGCATAAATAAATTTTTCATAGAGAAGTTGGTAAGTTGTGACTCTACAATACAGAAAGATAATAACTGAAAGAAAATGAAGTTCTTTGGCTTGAGTTGAAATGCTTCCTATAAAGCATTTCAAACTGGAAATGTGAAGAAACTAAGTTTATACCTCAGATAATCAATAGTTTTAATGACTCTTTAGGACAATAACATGCAACCTAAGGGAACAATTCTGCAATCCTTATTCAAACTAAGGAGATTTAAGTCCCTGGGACAGGGTAATGTATCAACCGGCAACAAATAAAAACCCAGAAAACATGCTTCTCAGAACAGAGGGTTTTTTTGGGTTAACTAAGAATTCGTGTTGGAGGCACACATGCATATGCTTTTGTAGGTGCCACTTCTTAAACATTTTATTTCCCTGAGCAAAATATGTGCTTTGCATGTTGATTTAGGGCAGCACATGTCTTGTGTCTCAGTTTTAACCTGGTAGCATGTTCCAGATTGGATACAGCCATGCATTTAAGTAATTATCTGGAAGGCAGAGTCAGGGACAGTAACACAGTCTGGAATTTAACCACCAGAATACACCAGAGGAAGAGAAATCCTCAGAGCCCCAAGGTAGCACTAAAATCACCTTGAAAGTATAAGCTGAATTCTCCCCATGTCTTGATATCTATGTAAAATAGAAAAAAAAAAAAAAAGCAAAAAACCAGAACCCCAAATCCAAGCATTTCTATTATGATTACTACTGCTAAACCTAATTAACTCTCAGTATGTGCCAGACATAGCAGACCTGATTAAAGTCATCTGTTCTGGTGTTAAAAGATAATCCAAGGTCTTTAAGCTTTTATTCAGATGCCTATGATTTTGTAAGAACACCTGCTGTACAGTATATGCTAATTAGAATGTTTGGATTACAATGGTTTACATCAGGAAGGAAGGAAGGAAGGAAGGAGCGAGCCAGGGACAGATCCTGGAGTGCCATTTCTCTGCTCTCTGCAAGAATTTAGGATGTTTCTTTCTTAATCACTTCTGTTGGACATTAACCTCATATTTGTTTCACTTCATTCACTACCTTATTGAAGTTATGTTTCTTACCTTCCTATGTGTCATTCAGGCTGGTGGAAGATTGAGTTTGAGGCTGAAGGTGTATTTTGGCTCTAGCTGGGAGCTGTTTTTGTTGCTGCAGTGGAGTTCTTCCAAGTTAAGAGAAAAAAAATTAAAGTATGACAGTTGTTTTTTTCTGAGACATGCCACATTGCACTAGAGCACACTCAGAGCAACAGTCATGACCTTGGTGTATCACAGCCCATGGTTTTGACAGGAGAATCAGTAGCACAAGATATTGTGTAGTCGGAAGTGATTCTATGCTGAGTTAGTCAGAATATGACACATAACCTGGGTTAGATTATAGTTCATGTCTCAAAGACCTTATTGTTGGCTCAATAAAAGCTTTCTTGTTTTTATTTTGAAGTAGTTCTATAATTTATAATAGATTCCTGGCTTAGTTATTAGAAAATGACCTTTAGTACCTTTTGGTATTGTCTTGTTTGCTAGAACAAACTTGCTTGATGCTTGTTCATCAAGCCCCCCCAATGTTTGTCTATGAAGAATTACCTAATGCAATCCTTTAATAAGTGGCATGTGTCTTCATCTGTTTCAGGGAAGTCTTCTTTTCCACTTCTTCTGACACTAAAGTCTGCTGTGAACACTGAGTGAGGAGGTGGAGAATCAGGGGTCCCATTTATAACCTTCTAAGTCCATAGAAATAATCCCAGGAGAATTTTGAAAGAGATGTTTAACTACTTAACACTTCTGGAAAGCAATCTCCTGTCAAAGCCAGATGTTCAATGGGACAGCTAGTTACCTAGTGCTTTGTTACACTTTTTAAAGATGCAACAAAGCAACTTTATGTATTTGTTATTGCCAAGAGTATTTTTTGAGATGTTAATTTGAGTTTTGACTTAAAAGTTTGCTGGGTGAATTCAGATAGCCATTTTTTCCTAACAGAAAATTCTTACAGATATGTGTGGGAGATCCTTCAGAAGTGCAACATGATTTTTCTTCAGGTGCCATTAATATTTAAGGTTGACACTGTGTTAGAAAAATACAGAAACTGTTTTTTCTTGACATTTGGGTTATGCTATCTGAAATTCATTTCAATGGCAACAAGAAATATTGGTGCAAACTACACCCTTTTGTAAAGGGAAATCATCCTGTACTAATCTTGACTGTAACCCTGTAATCCTAAACTGAGAGAAGACTTCAAAGGACTGAGTTTTACTCCTGGTCTCACATCAGGCTATCAGTAATGCACAAGTATTTGCATATGTGAAAGGCTGGCACAGTTGATACAGTGATAACAAATCAAGGTTATACAATTTTCATTGTTGCCACCACCCAAAGTTCACTAAAATGTTAAAAAAAGTATTCTTTCCATTTTTTTTTTTACTTGCTTGATAGATGTTGATGCTTTGTCATTTGCATTTTCTGATTTTTTTTTTCAGCAGCAGCAGCAGCTGTGAAAGACATCAATATAAGAAGAGAAGTCTATGATTTATAACTAAAAATTTTGTATAGCTGTTAGTCAAAGCAGGACTTCATTTTCCTTCTGGAAAGATAATTGTTACAACTGAATTCCTTTTTCAGAGACTAAAAAAAAAACTGCAGAAAGATTTGTGGGATAACCTTTATTTTAATCACTACTTTTACTTAGGTCTTTACCTTTCTTTCTGTCAATTGCTTGTTCTGTGCATATTTGGCTTTATTTCTGCGCTTCTTTTTCTGTTTGTAATTCTTGGTCCTTACTCTTTTCTCAGTATTTGGCATTGTCATGCATGCCTTTAATGTACCTTTGCTTTTCTTAATTTTTTCTGTGTGCTTGTGTTCTCTGAAAGTGCAGGGTTATGTTTGGCAATCAGTAACTCAGGGATTGAGTGACTGATCACACTGAATTAATGCTGCATCTCCAGTATCCTCCCATCACCTTTCTCAGCCTGCTTCTTTCTGACACTTCAAGGGTTTGTTGCACAACTGTGCCAGGGTAAGAAAATAGCATAAGCTTGCTCTGAGATAGTTGCTCTCTCTGCTGTAGTCTAATTTGCTCCTTCCCAGCTTTGCATATTTCATTGCCTTGCCAGAAGCTGTAATATCCTCCCTGCTTTGTCTGCAAATGAGCGCATACATTTTTGGTGAAGCCCTGTCCTTATTCTCCACAGTGAGCCAAAGGGAATGTGCTGGTCGTGACTCTACTTGAGGATTCATGTGGTGCTAATGCCACCAGCCTGGAGCAGACTATTACCTTAATATATGGTATATGGCAACATATTTCTGCTGTGATTCAATGTTTCAGCCTCATTACTACAATTTCTCTTAACATTTCGCTGGGCTCAGAACCTCATGTGGGTATTATTTACAAAGATTTTTACCCTTGCTGTTATTGATTTTGTATGAGCTCTTCTAAGAATAAAATATGGACATTTGGCTTATATTAGTAGGAAAGGCATGCTGTGAAGCTGTGCCTAAGAGGCTGTGGCATACAGTAAAATTTGACGGACAGCCTTGTTGATTCCCATGGATACATCCATTCCCATTGATACATTGTTGAACAATATTGCCTCCATCACCTGCAGGAAATGTCTGGACAAGTAACTGAGCTGTCAGTTTAGATCAGAGAATGAAAATAGACATAACTGCACATCTTTGCATCTTGTAAAGGTCAGTGATGCAATGTTCCCTTGAAAAGAGTAATTGCTTTTCCCCCCTGTTTCTAAAGCAAAACTTCCAAGTCTTAAAAAGGAGCAACACAAAATATTTATGACTCTGGAAATCCTTTCATAAAATGAGTATTTCATTTAAAGGTTTTCCATGTAAAGCTATAAATATTTTAGAAAGGTAATAGATACACGGTGATGGAATAAAAATTGATGGCCAATGACTGAATGGCCTTAAGTCAGTTTCCTAACTATTTTCCTAGGGTTTAATAGGCTGCAGAATGCTCTAATCAGTTTGCAGTATCAAGGACAGCTCCAGTTATTTCACTTCCCAGCCAGTCCTCCAGGAAGTTCTGGACAATTGGTCAGTGTTTACATGGGAAATCCAGGTTTCTGCTGCTTGGTTAGGTAATGGTGAAGGTCATATGCAATGGCTACTGGAAAGCTCCAGTGTATCAGACTGCACAGTCCACACTCATGGTTTCCCTGTACAGCACAAAGAATGCAAAGAATCCTTAGGACAGGACTAAGGATTTTTTATTCTAACCAACAGTCCAGTGAACACTGAATTTGCTGGAGAAGCTGAGCGTTACCAGCTGAGATCTATCCACAGAGAGGCTTACCAGGAATGAATAAGCAAGCAAGAGAGTGGGGAATGCAGTATCCAGCACAGTAGAAAAAAAAATACCAGAAGTGTGAGTGGAGACTGTCTATTCTACAAGGCAGGAAACAGTGGAACTTCCTAAAATTAGAAAATCCTGCAAAGAAGGTAGATAAATAAGTTTTTCAACAGAGAAAGGTGACTAGTAAAACACTTCACTTAGCATAACAAAAAACTTAAAGCATATTTCATTTTAAAATCTGTCCACTTCAGATCCTAATAAACTCTATTTATACTTAGAATGTGTAAGCAATCAAATAGGAAGTACCTTCCGGGAATGAAGTAATTATATTTGTATTTACAAATCCATGCACACAAACATCCTCACCCATTTATTTCTGTACACACAAACCCACAACGTATGTATATTTATATTACTGTGCTCTCAAGGATGTAATTCTGGAGTGCTTGGCTGAGCACCATGGTCCTGACCTGTCATCAAAGAAGGTTTAAAGCAGGCCTGGGGTTTGGAGAGTTTCCATCTGCAGACTGGCTTGCACGGCTGGCTGTACACAGGAGAGCTGTGGTGAGACTGAAGAGGCAGTTGTAGGGCTGGGGCAATGATTTTTAAAACCATCCACTTTGTCAAATGCAATATTTTAAGACTGTTCCTCCAAATGCCTTGTTTCCTCCAAAATGTCACCAAGGAAATTTTCCCTCTAATGAGGCTGACAGTTGCAGAAAGTCTCACTGCTCACAGAAGGGACTGGGTGATTCAGACAGGCAGTGATGATCAATGAGGAATGCTGCATATAGCATGTCACAAATGGAACAAAAAGGTTAGCGACATCTGAATGAAGGAGTTGAGCTGTCACCATCAGCTTTGCCTCCAGGTTTCATTCTGAAAATTGCAGGGAAGTTGCGCTCTTCCTCCCTCGAGATTTGCATAGGACATTTGCTGCATCAAGGATTCCTTCTGACATTTCTAGAGAAAGCAGCTAGAAGAGGGAAGTCAGACAGTAGAGTGTCTCTGTGTGCTGTTGCCAAGCAGATTATGTGCTGTAATCTGTAAGCACTGAACTGTGTTTGAATTACGAGGAACCTCTCCCTTGCTTTTGTCTTAGCCCCCTGGGAGAGGCGATATTTCCGGACTGCTAATGTCACAGCGTGACCTGTTAATAACCTGCGAGAGCCTTCCTCCGTTCTGCTGCCTCCCGCTCCCGCAGGACCGGCAGCTGCCGTCACATGGATCGAATGCCTGCCTTCTATGCGCTCCATTGAGAAAAATTCAAGCATGTGGCCTGAGGTTCCCCTGATGACTGTCTGGGGATGATGATTTCTACCATCTGTTCTGGCTGCCTGTGGCTCCCGGAAACATCGAGGTGTATGTTGCTTCTGGCCATACGTGGGATTCCTGATGAAACCTCAGCTGCTGTCCAACTGTCTGTGAATATCAGATGGGTTTGAATTATCTTCCGCCAAGAGGGGAGGGAGAAGCGCTTTGTTTAACTCTTTAATCTGAACCACTAGACAGCACATGCATAATCACAGGGTACAAAGCCGCTGAATTATTAGCATCTGCATCGCGGTGGCAGCTGTAGCGTGCACACGTGTGCCGGGTCTATCTGATTCAAGATGCCCAGGCTGGTTTTTTCCAGGCTAAATATAAAGCCTTGAGTGAAATTTATCTTACTTTAGCTCACTTGGAAGCCTTGTAATTACACCAGAGATTTAGTTGATCCCTTCACTTCTGATTTGTGTTAAAGGCCCATTTCAGATATATAAATTTTATATCAGTATATGAAAAAGGCTGCTTATCAAATGTTTATATGCAGCTGAGGAATTACTGCATTTCCAAAGTTAGTTATTCAGATAGAGGAAGTCAGGGCAAATTGATATTAATGTTGATATACAAAAGGGACTTTTGTGCAAAAAATCCTTGATAATGAATAAATACGTATCATTTCACTTTCAGGATTTGACATCCTTTCTGGTATTTTCCTTGTAATTTTCCATCTAGAAACCTTTTCTTGATGTTTGCTGAATATCATATTTTAGTGGATGTTGAGGGTCACTATGTAAGCCAGAAGACAACATCTAAATTTGATTTGATTTGATTTGATGCTCCTTCTTGTTAGAATTGTCTAGACTTCATCCCTTGATAGTCACACTGTTTTCTCCATTGATATACACACTATTTTCTTTGGATGAATAGATGCTCTCAGTAAAAAATACAGTGAGTTTTATGGGGTTGGAAAAATTGTTTATACAGTCAGTCTTGGAGCAGAGAAGTTATTACAGAGATGCTGAATGGATCAGCAGTAACTGCTTACAGTTCTTGCGGTCACTGTTCAGGAAGAGATATGCAGAATATAAGACTTTAAGGCACCTCAGAGGGAAAAGGAAAAGAAAAGGAGAAGGAAAGGAAAAGGAAAAGAGAAAAAGGAAAGGGGAAAAAGGAAAAGGAAAAGGAAAAGGAAAAGGAAAAGGAAAAGGAAAAGGAAAAGGAAAAGGAAAAGGAAAAGGAAGGAGATACCTAGTAGTAGGCAGAAGTGACAGCCTTGGGTTGTTAAACAGTAAGGGAGGAGTATCAGTGCATGGTACTGGATGCTTCACATTTTCAGATTCAAGTTAAACACCTCTGTAGCATGATCTCATGCAGATATTATTATTGTGGATGCTAATCAAAGAATGTGAAAACACTCACCAAAGGACGTTTGATTGTGTTTGCTTTTGGAGCTTTTTGTTATGCCATGAGACATAATATCAATCTGCAAATGCATTCAGCAGCTAGTGCACAGGCATGGGGTGGGAGTCAGGGTTCCACCACTGCTGGAATTTCTTTCTCTTGTCGACTGACTCATGCAGAGAAGTGCACATATCTCTTGCATATGCATGCTGTCAGAAATCAGTATCAGGATAGAAGGCTTGAAAGTAGGCAGCACCAGAAACTTCAATAAAACTTGGGTAAATATTTCTAATTCTAATTTTCTAATTTATTGATCCTTTAAAGAAAAAAAAAATGCCAATCAAATACACAGGAGCTATATACAGAAACATTTAGTTTATTTATTTCCTACAACCTGGAATGACCCAGTAGCTTCCTCTGCCTTCATCTTTAAAGCAGATTTTCTTTCAGCAATGAATGCAAGGCTGCTGGCTTTTAGCAAACATGGACGAGGTAAGAAGGACACCCTAATACAGGAGAGGTGATTTGCCTATAATGTAAATCTTCTCTGGCAGCATTTCTCTTTTTGTGTCTGGATACAGGAAAATTTATCTGTACTACCAGTGTCTGTCCAAAAAAATCCAACAAAACCCCACAGACAGAAAAATCTCCAACTGCAAACCAAACCCCTTATAAGCTCCTTAGTTTGAAAAATAGTTAGCTTTTAGCCCAGAGCTTTTTAAGGGAAATCTGGTGTTTCTTCTCTCTGCATAGATCTCTGCATCGCTGAAGAGAGATTTGACAGGTAGAGACAGCTTGTAACAATGTACTTTAAGTTCTGAAAGACTAAAATGAGTAATCCAAACCATACTAAAAATGATTTTTTTCATGAATCTTTCTAAAAATATATGTCACAGAGAATTTCTTTCCTCCTTTTTCCACTCTTTTTTTGTTTGAAGTAAGGTTGGTATTTATATTTAGTTGCACATCATTATGTGTGATTTCCCTTTTCTGTTAGTCACATCAGGTCTTGCTTGCAGTCAGAAGTGAAGTAAGATATTGCAAAATGTCACTAATAAATATGTTAAGAGACTGAACTAGAAATAAAACATGGAGATTCCAACGTGAATCTCATAATGACGTTCTTCTGCCTTAGTCCACTTTTGTTGAAATTTAGATTATGATGAAACATTTGTAGGAATTATTCTGAAATGGAGAAATATACTCTGCAATTTCTAGGTCTCAAATGATGACTGTGAGGGGCAGAACACGAAAGCTTCCCTCCTGTCACTTGAAATATTTCCTTTAGGCTTAGAGGGCTATTAGAGGGATTTGAATATACATGCCTGTGGGAACACTTGGTCTAAAGGGATTCTTTTTGGGTTTCTATTGAGAGGTGACTGTTGCACTGAATGCCCAATCATCTGTGCCACAAACCCTAACTGGATTAGAGGGAATGTTGGGGAGAACTTCACAGATGATGGAGGAAGAAATGGCTGTCTGAGCAATTTTGTTGCTAGCACAACAGAAGAAAGTCAGACATTTCCAAATAAACCTATACGTATTCCCTGTTCCAGGTTATGAGCATACAGCCTGACATATAGCAAGGGTCTGGCTTGCACAGGTGCTGAGCACTTACCTTTATGGTTGTGGTGTTGAGAGCTTGCAGCTCTGAAAAAGAAATCCATGATTTCTCAGCACAGACACCCATTTAGGCATGCAGGCAGTAAAAGTTTCTGAATGGCTAAAGCTTCAGTATACCTGATCAAGGTTTGTGTGTGATTTGTGTAATTAGTGTGATTAGGGTTTATGTGTAATTAGTGTGCTTAGTGTTAACTATCTATAAATGAAGGAAATTTCAGTGCTGAGAAATTCAGCCTTTCTATATAATTCAGACCATAAAGAGAATCCTAAACTTTCAGAGCCCTCCTGGAGGATTAAATTTTACATGGAGTAAATAAACACACTTCTCTAATAAAGGGCAGTGGACTACTTTCCTCTGGAATATTAGCAGGTGCTGTCGTTTAAGATGCTTATAACACTGACTGAAAACTCTAGAAATAAACAGGTAAGATTAATTCTATGCTAAAATAGGGTTCTAATGTGAGTCCCTACCTCTAAAGGAATGGTGACGTTCCTTTGCTGTGGCAAACTCCGAGCAAAGAATAGCAAGAACTGAGTAAAGGGAGTAATTTGCTAAATAAGTATCCCATTTTCAGAGTAACCTTTTGGCTGCCCTAGGTTTTCCTGGCTGACTACTGTTCCAAGGAATTGATAGAGTACCTGGCAGCCAGCAAGGTTTTTTATGACAGCAAGTGCATACACATATAGTAGAAGCTGCTGGGCTTCCTAGAAGGATATTTTAAATTACTTTACAAGATCTTAGTTAAATCATGTGAACTAGTTATCAGAGAAAGCCCAGACTTTTGCAAGTGTGTAAGTAACTTCATGGGGCTTTGTTTTCTGAAGCACACAGGCAGACAGCAAAAGAGTTAATAATTACTATATTAAATATAGTAATTTTGATAATTACTATATTTATAGTAATTATCAAAATAGATAATTACTATAAATATAAATTTATATTATAAAACAATTTTTTCTCACTTCTTTGAGTTAAATCACATCCCAAATGCTTATAATACACAACACAGATTAGTGAAAATTTCAGCAAAAGACAAAGTCTGGTTATGGAGAACTGGTGTGGTTACTTGGTAGCCTTGATCCCTGATAGGCAACTGATGCAGAGAAGTGTTCCATCACCATATTTTAATCAGAGTTTAGGCCAAATTCTGCTATGGTCATAAGTTTTAAGTACTCATTTAGGTATGAGGTTAATGAGACATTAGGAATATGACATTTAATTAAGGTCATCGGGTGTGTGATTCTGTCTCTTTGCTAGTATGATGTTTCCTTATTTTGCTTTCATGTTTTAATTTTCTTTATCTTCTCATTCAATAGTGTTTTTCAGTAAAACTGCTGCACTACAAAAAATACTGTCAATAACAAAAAGGGTAATAAATAATGTGATATCAGAAATGGCTGCAGGAATGCCCTTATGAAAATTTTTGTGATGGAGACTTTTTGGCTAGCAACTAAGAACAGAGAGTATTGTTTTGCATCTTATGTACCTTTTGTGTTTCCAGGAACTAAAAAAAAAAAAAAAAATTAATTAATTTTCACAGCTGAGGAGAGAGGAATAACATCCCAAAAGGCTGGATAACTTTCTCCTACCAAGCTCTCTTCAGAGATACTTGCCAATTAAGGGAAAGCACAGTTTCAATTTCAATGAATCCAGTTCTTATTTATTCTGGTACAGTTGATAGGGTGACTCACTGCTTTGCTAATGAAAATTTGGTGTTTGGCTTTAAAAAAAATACATTCAAGCAAAACAGATTTTACTTACCACTTTTGTATAGCTATTTTAAGGATAGGATTAGAGGACAGTGCTAATAGGTAGAATTAAAGAGACAAGTTTGTCCTTGCATAAGCATGAAATGAAAGCATTCAATTGAAATCCCAGTGAACTGGAAAGGAAGGTGTACAGTGAGTAATAGCAGGTGTACAGGCCTTCATATCTTGAGCAAGGTGTAATGTGATCACAATCTCTGCCTTCCTGTGCATGGTGAATAAGAAAACAAAATAAAGGAAGAAAATGGGGCCACATCCTCCCTTAGTGTAAAATGTCAAAGCTGTGCTGAAATAAATGGGACTCTCTTTAATCACCTTAGGGAAGGATTTCATCCTTCCAGCTGGAACCGTTCCAGACTTCCACATAGGTGTCGCTCCACCCCACCTACCTGATCTTCAGCTTTCATTCACTTAGGTAGACAGCA